GAGAGAGAGAGAGAGAGAGAGAGAGAGAGAGAGAGAGAGTACAAAGACGGCTTGTATTTCGAAAAGACGATTTCATGCCAAATATACAAACAGACCACCGGATGACGTCTTTGGAACCTCATCACTGCCCCCCTATCCCGATGTTACACACCACAATGATGCCAACAACCATTAAATGCGAGGCGTCAACGGTGAAGCCGACAAACTGAAGGTGTCAACATATGACAGCCTTGCCGCTCACAAAACAACCCATCCTCGGGTATCTCACTAAACATTTCGAAACGAATACTAATCTGAAAAAATAATTAAAAAATAAAAAGATGAATCTTCAAAAGAAAATGAAGATGCAGTAAGGGTTGAACGGTCGCTGAAGGCGGTGAAGCAGGAGGAAAGCGCCTACAACGAGGACCGTCGTCTGACACATCATCTTCTGCGTTTCCTCTGAGGCCTCGTAATACGTTTTTTGAACTGCAACCTCCTGCTCCAGTATATCGCATTGCCTTGTGAGGACGGTGCATTGCCGCTTGCTCGAGGAATCAATTGCCGATGACATGAGTTGTCCATGGCAGTCCATAATATCGGCGATCGCCTCAAACGTCTATTGACGTGCATTCTTTCTCTTTTCGCTCGTGCCGCTGCTTCCAGCATTGTGGTTGGAATCCCTGGCTGACGACCGATCCGACGAAAGCATCACCGCCACCTTTGCTCCCCACGGACTCCCCAACTCTAGTTCCTCGCCTCGGCAACTGCACCCCTTCAGGAGAGCTAGTGTCGGCCACGTTGGGAGGAAAAATAGTGTGATTCCCACCATGCTCGTGCGGATGTCGTCATACAACCTCCTCTCCATTCGGAACTTGAGGTTGTGCTCCTTATATTCCTCGTTCATCAAGCGGAAAAAACTTATGTCGCAACTCTTCCCCTAGAATCTCAAGATCTTCCTGTAGTTCTGGAACACATTGTCCCACTTTCAGAAGCAGTCATCAGCGTCTTTCATAGTCCCCAACGCAGCCAACTGTTTCGCTATGTCCTCCCACATCCACGCCCTCATCCACATCCGTCCGTAATTACGACCCAGCCCAGCCATGTGCATGCCTCGCTCGAGGAGCATTCGCTCCTCTTTTGTCCAATACGTTGTTGTTTTGTCTCCGTCCTTGGAAGCGTTGACTTTGCCACCAGAACCGCCGGCTCTTCCACGACCACTGCCTCTCGCGTGCCCTTTCATCCTCCCTGCCCTCTTTCCCAATGGATGAATATCGACGTCCTCTTCGTCATCCCCCCCCTCGATGTCCTCTGTGTCTCTGTCGTCGTTGCCATCGTGGTACACCGCATCGTCACTGCCACCATCGCTGCCCACACTCCACAAGTGATGTTCTCCACAATTGTCCGCTGCGACAGTGGTGGTCTTCCTGCGTCGTCCTTCTGTTCAGCGATGCCAACGAAAGACGAGCACCACCAACACCGACGGGGCCCACTGCAACTCCGACAACGGTGCGGCAGGCGTTTCTGCATCCTTGCATGTTTATCCCGTTCCTGCCATGTTGTCGGGCATTGGGTGACGCCAGGGCAGCAGCACTGAGGAGTGAAAGCGCGTGCGACTGGCGACTCCTTGGTATGCGCACTGCGAGGACGGTGATGGCCAGTCGGCGAAGCTTCGGGGTTGATGATGAAGGTGTGGGTAACTGTTGTCGCACCGCTGGACGACAAGCCAAACCTCAGATCGACCTCCCCGTCGTCATCATCCCCCAACCCTTGAGGCAAGAGGGATGTGAACTCACCACCTCGATTGTTCCCGCATCCGCCAGCTGCCAACGTCTGCGACCACATCTGCGTCGACCCACTACCCAGAGGTAGTGTTGCCAGCTCCTCCACTTTCTCTTCCAAATCGTCGTTCGGTGGGGGTAGAGGCTGCTCGTGCGAAGGCAGATGGCTGTACAAGGAGGGGTTGTACCGCCGGCGAGGAACCACCCCAGATGAGCCTCCTGCGCTCGCGGTCGCCACTTGTCCGCCGACGTTAAAGTTCGCCATTGGTCGTTCAGCGGAGGTCCCTTCCATGGATGCGCGACGCTGGCAGCGTTGCTTCGTCGGCCGGAACGCCAAGCACAAATGGAGGAAGAGGACAAACAAGAAGACAACGCCAACCTCTGATACTTGTCTGCCATGAATCTGCACTTTGGAGGGAGCGTTTTGAACACACAAAGGACAGGGACTCCAGCATGCCGACAGATGCAACTGCAGGTCGTTGATATGGCGCCACCGCCATGTGCAGAAGAGGTCAGAGGGGAAAGCCACTACTTTGAATTCCAACCGTTGGATGCCCTCCACTGCCTGCAGATCGTCAGTACCAGGATGGTGCAGCACCTCTTCCTCCCCCGCGTAACGGTCGACTATGGAGGACAGGGCACCAGCCGCTTGCCGTCCACGGTCGGCTTCGCCTCCCTACCTTCCCCCCTCCTCCCTTCCCCCCCTCCTCCTCCCCCCCGCCCCCACGGCTAGGGATGGTGGCCCTTGCCTTCATCCCGCCACTGCAGGCCTCCAATGTCCGACCCCTGGGCCGACGGACAACTTCTGCACCGTGGAATTGGAGACAGCGGTGCCCTGTGCGCATCGGCGAGCCTTCCTGAAACGCAGCTTCCTAAAAAATAAAGCTCCTCGGGAGGAGTTTTTTGGGGGGCGGAACTTTTGCCTGGGGACTCCTAAAATTTTCAGGACTCGGAAAAGAAAAAAATAAAATAAAATTTTCAGGACTAGTCCTAAAGGCGTTTTCACATTTTCTTTCACGAATTCAGTTTTTTTTTTTTTTTGCTTTTGAGAAGGGCGATGGCTTGAGGTATTATCATCGGACTAACCAGCCCAGGTAAATTTAATCTTGTGTCTAATCTGACTCAGGGTTCCCTTGTTGCCTTCAGGGAACCCCAAATGGGGGACACCGGCCACGGGACAGCCGGTAGCAGAGAGACCGAGCACCATCTGAGCGGGCAGTCGCTGTGCCTCCGGATTAGCCCTCCCCCTATGAACAGGAGCAGAGGAATGCGTGTAACCACACTGCATTCCTAAAAATACGCATTTTTAGGAGTGTCTAACGAAACCCATAGCTTAGGTCTATAATTCGATACAATAATTTTAGAGGCCTCGTCTCACCGGTGGGTAAAGGTGAAATTATCTATTGATAATTCGATACAATAATGTTAGAGGCCTCGTCACACCAGTCAGGAAGAGAGAAGAATGGGAGTGCATTTTCCCCAACGAACTGTAAAGATTCATCCATGACTGTGAACAGTAACCGATGTATCTTGCCATCTCATGCGGGAAGATGCACTCGCAATGTTCAATTTTCTCATTTCGTGAGTGGTGTGGCGAGGACCATTGGCTCGTGGAATAAATCGTGGAAGGGAAAAAAAATAAAAAAAATAAAAAATCGTGGTGGAATCAGATGGAAACAAATGTGTTAAATGCCGAGTGTACTTCGACGTACAAAAGCGGAAAGATACACTCGCCCGCCATTTTTGTCTTTCTCACACGTTCCCAGCAGCGGTACACCAAACTCTCTCCCTGTTATTTTTGTAATTATTCTTTTTCGGAGCTCTTTCCTGACGGCATACTCCCATCAGTAGGATTTTTTCCCTCCAGCCCGTAATTAGAGCCAGGTTCATCCGCAACAGGCATACTACTGGTAGCAGTGGGTTGAGAAAGGCCTGAGCAAAGGCCATCACCACATCACACTCGAAATGTGCAAAACGAGAATGAACTTCTCGTTAGAACACGGCCAGGTGCCCTTGCCACATTTTTGTCGTTTTCACATTTCGAGAACGCTGGACCCGGCCGGTTTCCAGCTGGTGCCGCTCCCCACCAATACATGGAGGAGCCCGACAGAGAAACCCTCAATCCCGACGGTTCTCAGGATAGTGGGCCTTTTTTTTTTTTTTTTTTTTTTTTAAGGCTAATTCTTTTGAGCCCAACCAATCCAATTACCTGGACAGGACGGCCTTTCAGGCCTTGATTTTTTTTTGTTTTTTTTTTTGTGTGTAGTGGGCTTTACACAAGGGCTATTCTTTCAAAAAAAAAAAGAAAAAAAAAGGGAGTGGTGTGGCGAGGCCCAAAGTCTGGCGCGCGAACCCACCTGTAGGGGAGTAGAATAGAATATATTCTTCAGAGATTCACTCTCGTCTTCACATCGCCGCCGCTCTTCTATCGTCTTCCGCTCTTCTCCCCGCCATATCCGAAGCTCGCGCTCTCGGGCTCGCCGTCATCGCTACCGCCCGCCACTGCGTGACCGCGACTCGGAGCAAGCGACACAATCAACAGCAAGAAAATGGCGCGGAAGTTTTTCGTCGGCGGCAACTGGAAGTGCAATGGCACCCTGGAGAGTGTTTCGAAGCTGGTCGATACGTTGAATGCGGGCGCGATTGTGTCGACTGACATCGTGGAGGTGGTGGTTGCTCCTCCGTTCATCCACCTCCCGCTGGTGAAGGATCGCCTGAGGAAGGAGATCCAGGTGTCTGCTCAGAACTGCTGGGTGAAAAAGGGCGGGGCGTACACCGGCGAGGTCAGCGCGGAGCAATTGGTTGACCTCGGTATTCCCTATGTCATCCTTGGGCACTCCGAGAGGCGGCATATAATGAAGGAAAGCCATGACTTTGTCGGGCAGAAGTGCGCCTATGCGCTCAGCAAGGGGTTGAAGGTGATCGCGTGTATCGGAGAGACGCTGGAGGAGAGAGAGGCCGGCGACACTATAAAGGTGTGCGCGGAGCAATTGACCGCCATCAAGGAGGCCATCGGAGAGAACTGGAGCGAGGTGGTCGTTGCGTACGAGCCTGTGTGGGCAATCGGCACGGGGAAGGTAGCGACGCCTGAGCAGGCCGAGGAGGTGCACGCGGAGCTGAGGAAATGGCTGGCGGAGAACGTCAGCGCGGAAGTTGCGGAGGCCACGCGCATTCTGTACGGAGGCTCTGTGACGGCCGGCAACTGCAAGGAGCTGGCCAAGAAGCCGAATGTCGATGGCT